TTTATTTTGATGATTATTTTATTTAATATGATGAATATAGAACATTAGAAACGTTCCCAAATGTTTTCAACAAAATTTTGTACTTTTTCATTCTTTTTGTGTTCTATCATTTTTAAATATTTATTATTCAATTATGACATCATGAATTTCTTTGAAAAGTTGGATCATTGACCCACCATCTATAGAATACAATATCTTAACTTTCAGACAATTAAATTATATATTTTAAATATATTATATAAATAATTTTTACTTATCACGCTTAATTTTGTTTGACATAATTAATATATAAATTTTTATACATTCTTTTGATTAATTCTAATTTTTTATTTTTTAAAGATTTATTATTTAACTATCATATAATCAATTAATCCATTTGACCCACATCATTAAATTTTGTATTACATTTTCACATTGTCAAAATCATTTCTTATGTATAATACTTATTTTTGTTCAATATAATGAATGCATAGTATAAGAGATGTACCTAATATTTTATTTTTTATAAATATAACATTGTGCCCAATTTTTTTTCTATTTATTTATTTTTGTGATTTTTTTGTATTTTCTATTTTTAAAATTTTATTATTTGACTATGACCATTTCATTTTTAGGTAGATTTTAAATTTGGCATTCCATTTTCATCATTAATAAAAATACTTCTTACATTTCATACTTTTTTTTGTTTAGTATAATGAATATAAAATTTTAGAGATATGCCTAATTATTTTTATTTTTTGTATTATATATTTGATTAATTTTAATTTTTATTGTTTACTTATGACATTATTTATTAACCCATTTGACCCTAAATGGTTGAATTGCTTACCACCAGGAAGGGAGAAATGGTTTTGTTTTCAAATTAATTTTCAAAATATTTATTTTTATACTATTAAAATTAATGCTGTGGATTTAATTAATAGAATTTAATGATGAAAAGAATTTATCTTAAATATAGGATTTAAATTTTGCATTCATTTTCCATCATTAATAAAAAAAATTCTTATTTATCATAGTTATTGTTGTTTTATATGTAGAATATATGATGTAAAAAATGTTCCCAATGTTTTTAATTTCTATATTTTTTTACATTTTATATATTTTTGAATTTTATTATTTAATTGTAGCAACATGGATTGACCCATTGGACCCAAAATGTTTTAATTTCTTACTACCACCTAGATGAAAACACTATTTTTTCTAATTAGATTTTAAAAGCATAATTTTTTATATTACTGGAATTATTAATTTATTATGTATGTATTTAATTAATAGAATTTAATGATGATAAGAAACAAAAATGTCTTTGTATATGATTCAATGAATATGAAGTCAAGTTAATACCTTACATGTTGGATTTAATGAGAGAAAATTGAATGCATTAAACATCTTAAAATTACCTCTTTTTTAACTCATTTAATATTAATAACCAATTACTCTATTTGCCCTTATTTTTTTATCAATAAAATTAAATATGGAGGGGTAAATTTTGTCCTTAGAAAATTCCAGAAATATTCTTGAGGCTATTTGTTCTTTCCACAGTAGTATAGTTTTTTTTTTTTTTAGATTTAAGGTTATTTCAGTCATCAAACATTTGATGATTTTACATAAGGGTAAAATTGGCATTATAATATGTTTAAATCCATAGCATCAACAATTGCTATTTTTTTATTGGATTCCTGTAAAGTAACGGAAGGGGTCTATATGTCCCTTTATCCCCAAAAATTAGAAGAGGTTTAAGGGCAGGTCAAAGTTGATGTACTTGTATCTAGGAAGAATCTAAAATTTCAATACAGGACTTCTTTTAGTTGCACCTTCTATTGCATGAACTTGAATATTGAACATTGAATGCTTATTGATTCCAAAAAAAATAAATAAATAATAAAAAAGAGAAACCTAAACGGCTCCAAATTTCTAGTTAATCATACATACTCTTCTGTTTCATTATCTATAAAGAAAATGTTAAAGACAAAAAATTATCACTTAAACTAATTAACAGACAATTAGAAAAAAGTATACACTGTATGTCGAACCCAGATTTCCTATTCACTTTCTCTGCCCATGCCCAAGGTTCAAAGTATCGATATGATACACCTATTTATAAGTGTTAAGGGACCCCGTTTATTTCAATAAAATGACTTAAAAAACATTTCCAGAAATCAAGTTTTGAAAAAATACTAAAAAAACATTAAGCGATTAGTTTTTAGTACCGATACGCCCCTACCGATACATGGGTGTATCGATACTTTGAACCTTACCCATGCCCTACCCGCAATACACTGCAGCCACACTATCTCACAATACAAGATAGCGATGTGCGACTATAATTCAAGGCAGGTAGAAAGTGGGTGGAGAGTTGTGGGCAGGAAATATCTTTTTAAAACTTGCCACACTGTTCAAAATATAGAAGAGAGATAAGGATAAAGCTTTTCTTGGTCCAGCCTAGGCTTATATGTTTGATAATTCTAGATTGGCCCAAGTTCGACCAGGTGTGGTTCTATATCGTTTTAAATCCATACATAAAGAATACAAGCCCAAGCCATCTGCCTATTAGACGCTCCATACTGAAAAGATCATTGAGCGTATTAATATTTTGAACCATGATTCCATGTAACATAAAAAATGTCCTAGATTCCAAGTCTTAGGTGTGCCAGCAATATAAAAAATCGATATGTAACCATGCATTATATGTTTGGTACATTGAACCATGTACATGTGTCGTTATTATATTTGGGTTATTTACTAAGACACCCCCTATACTTCAAAACATCCATTATTACGGAATAATGCCATGTTGAGATTATGAACAAATGCTAGGTGGTGGCAAAATCACAAAACGGATCTAAGAAACATTGAAAGAACAAAGGAAATAAAAAGGACCGAGAGACCACCGACCAAAGAAACAATAAGTCCATTGTCCTACTTGTGGAGAAGAAGAGAAAAGGGATAAACAACAATTATTAGATGGTCGAGTTTGTTGTTTCTTATCATGCTTCCACACTTGTTGATTCAAGAAGCAACTTTATTGTTAGTGGTCAATCAACAAGTTGAACGGTTGTGAACTGAATTGATGCAAATGCAGTGTTTCCCCAGAGGTGTAGATGCAAATGCAACTTTATTATCTGTTTTTTTTTTTATTCTTTTAGTGATACCTTGCTCCTTTCAAAAAAAAAAAAAAAAAGATAAAGGGATCCAAAACTGGATTGTAGAAATTAGAGACATTGCAGTGGAGGCGGAGGATGTCATCAACATCTACATCTAAAGAAAAAGCAGCATAAAGTGAAGAAAGAGGCTGGATGAGCTTCCTCAAAAGGTGAGTTTGCATGGTTGACAAGAGGATGGATCTCTGCAAGTTTCACAAGACAGTTGAAGAAATTCAGTGTAAGATTTCTGCCATCTTTTAAGAGTTGAGATTCTTGTAGTATTAGAAATATGGGGGGTGCAGATAACGAAGGGACAAATTCTTTAACCGAGATACAGAGAAGAGTGAGATGGAGCTTTTCACATGATTCCAATTATGGGTCGCTGAAGGTTTAATAGTCCCCCCACAATATTGGAGTGGAGAAGGATTGGTGGAAGACCTGTGTAAAATTATTCAGAGGAGCTGCTTATCAGGAAGTTAGGAACACCATAGAAGTGCCATATAAATGGAATGGCTAAAAACTCCGCATTCATGATATTATAGGAGATAAGTGATCATGAAGATGCAGCAATCTGTGTTTAGGAAAGTTGATAAATGAATCAGACAAAGAAAATGGCCATCAGAAGACAATTACACCCTTGTTGAAATCTGCAGACCGATGATAACTTCCACACTAGTTCCTTGGATAAATCTACCAAACTCTAGACACTAGAACATTGGCACTGATCAAGGTATATGTAATAGAGTGGCCATGAAATTCTGTTGTAATGTATCCACTCCTAGATCACGTGGTAATTAAAATGGTTACGAGATTGGTAGAAGTGAGAACAATCAGGGCTTGAATGGTGACTCTTTGACAAATTCCTTGGTACCTTCACTTGTCTCCTCCAATGTGATACAGCACAAAGAACCAGAAGGCCACTCAAGCCATCCTTTGGGTGATACGAGATAGAGGTAGCTTTGAAATAAAAGATCATCTTAAGAGATCATGTGACCATTCCCAGTTGATTGATTTTTCCCTTTATCGCATACCCTATTTCATGTTCAATCATCTTTACAGCCCACCAACAGTTCAATTCAGCCACCAACTGTAACGAATTAGCATATTTTTGGAAATTTGGTTCAAAGGACAAAGTTGAATAGAGGGGCACCATAACAAGAAAGTGTTGTTTGTTATTAGGCTTCATTTGTAAAAAGTGCAAATACAGAACCTGTGTATGAAACTTGAACCTACGACTCTTAGTGAAAACACTACATTCAAACCAATTTTACTAAATTTTAAGTGTATATAAGCACGTGCATTTAAATCATATTGAATTGGATTATATCAGATAGTACAAGGGTGGTTCTATTTTTGATCCAATTATAAATGGTCCACAGTTGAATAACCTTTAACCAGATTGAAATCAAATTCGAATTCAGCCAAATGGATACTGTTTGCAGCCCTAGAAGGATGCCTAGTTTTCCTTATAACAGAGAAAATTTGTTCATTGACTAGTTATCCTTGGCAAAGCATGGCATTTGATTATTATTTTAAACTTTCCTAGGATAACTAGTTTTGTTTACTTGGACTTTTATTTCCTATGACATTTTCAGTAGACAACTGACTTTTTTTTTGGGATTCCAGGAGATCAAGAGTATGCAGGTGCATTTAGCCATTCCAAAGGAGTTTTACTCTATTTTCAAAAGAATTAGAATGAATGGGAATTTCTTCTAGACAACAAAACTATATTTGGAAATTGGGACTGAAGTTCAATTTTTCAATAATGTCTCACAAAATTGAAAATAAAATTACTTCATTTCAAACTTATTTTATTGAAAAGTTTCTTTAGGGAATAGAAAGGAAAGAGAAGAAAACTAGAAAAATCATCTCATCCCCAACCCTCAAGAATGTTTTTATTGTTTATATAACAGATTGACAAATATACCCTTATACAGGAAGATTATAAATGTCTCACCCAGATGGGTCAACCTAAACCAAACATATTTCCCACCTATAATTATACAAACAAAAACTAAGAATCAATATGGAATTAATATTACAAGATATGATGAAAAAACCATGAGCTGGAATTCCAATAAAATAGCTAGAGCTGAATGCAGCTTCAGGGTTACCAAGTGATAGAATCATCAATTACTAATCCCATCATCTCTACAGAAAACGACTTTTCTGTTGCATATAAATGAGGTCAAGAGTACTCTACATGTGATCACTTTCTTGAGTAACGGTCAACAAGTGCTTTGGCTTTCTCTGGCGCAAAGAACCGTGCCTGCATGTATTACTACGAATAACTGCTGCAGTTTCATATCTGGTTAATTTCAAGGATAAATTGCTAAAACCTCCCATGAAGTTTGGTAATTGCAATCACCTTCTCTGAACTTTATGATACAGTTGCAAGTAGACCCCCTCTGTTAGAATCCTCTAACAAGAAGCATGAAAAATATCCAAAATACCCATGTTGTTACTTTTGACCAAAATGTTTATTTTTCAGATTTTCTCTTCATATCAATCACTACCCCAAGTCCTTCCAATCTCTTTTCTGAAATTGACTTGTTTTCCAAATTTGCCCTTCATACCAATTGCTCAAAGGTAAAACTTCAACTTTAAACTCTCTTATTTTTGTTGTTCATAGATTTTGTATTGTTTTTTCTGTAGAAATCAGCCTCAGTAACTGTAGGGGTATTTCAGACATTTTCATGCCTCTTATTAGAGGATTTTAACAAAGGGGGTCTACTTGCAACTGTCAAACAGTTCAGGGATGGTGATCGCAATTACCAAACTTCAGGGGAAGTTTCAGCAACGGTCGGAAATTCAGGGGAGGTTTCAGCAATTTACCCTAATTTCAATATATAAAATTTGATGTTCAATCAGAGCATGCTAAAAGGAAAATTCTATGAAGTAGTTGTAAGGCCAGCTGTGTTGTATGGAGTACAGTGTTGGGCAGTTAATAAATAGCATGTCTGAAAAATGGGTGGGGTAGAAATGCAAAGGTTTAGATGGATGAGTGGCAAAATGAGAGAAGTAGATTGAGATGGTTTAGTCACATGCATAAAAGATCATCTACAGCACCTATTAGAAATGTTATAAAATGTACAGAACTGAAACCATCATAACTTGATGTAGTAGTTTTACTCATTCATTGACTAAATAAAGAAGAAAATATATTCATATACTCACTTGGATAAACATCCTCTCTGCATCTCCAATATTGCCATTCTCTTTTAATATAATTCCCTGCAGAAGCATAAGTGGGAAAAAAGATTCTCATACATGGTCTCGTAATGTGAAAAGCTTACATTTACATATTTATGTTACCAAATACCAGGAAGTAGAAAACAAGTAGTTGAATAGTAGTTGAATAGAAAATTGAGAAAAATAGAATAATAAAGCATTACTGATAATACATGAGGTAAACAAATGGTTGAAGGAAATACAAGGTTCCTTACCCTGGGACCAGAAATCGTGGATATATATATATATAACACAACCATACCTGTGTATTATTATGTCATAAAACTGAGACATAACAATACAGGGTGGGTATTATTATTAAGTATATACCTGTTTAACAGCGACCCTCCCCACCTTTTTCTCAGGGAACCCTTATTAAGTCACCATACCTAAAATTGGAGATGTTCAATAATAACCCCTACTTCAGGGGGAGAATATTTTTCCAGTAGGTTCCTATTTAACAATACAAGTGGGTATGACCACCAAGTAAATTCCCTTTGACTTAAAAGTGCATCCCCCCTTTCTCTCAGGGGATCCATAATAAATCACCACCACTATAAGTGTGGAGATGTTCAATAACATAACATGAAGTGAGCCTATACAAATATCATGTTAGCAATTTACAGAGCTTCCGACTTAATGCTAATGTAAACTAGCAGAGTATTGCTAAGTAGAGGCAATCAAGAAATAAAAGATATTATATTTTGGAACTACTCACCACTGTTCTTGAAACCATACCATGCTATTATATGATATTGTAGATTCTTGTTTGCATAGGACTCACTTGATAATACCATGGTATGGTCCAACCTCATGGGAAGAGGGTGTAACACTGCATCTTGCAGTCAGGGAAGAGGTCTTTCCCTGTTATCAGTGTTTGGATATTATTGGTCAAGAGATTAATTACAAATGTTATTTCTTAGTTCAAATATTTGATTTGGGCTCATAGGATGGCTGAAACCCAAATCACTTATATTAAATATTGTTGGGCCGAATTTGGGTCCAATGTGTTAGATGGACAATTTACTATATGAGACATAATGAATTCGCCCATCGTGGTCCCATGCATTAAAAATTTTGGGGATAATTAATTTAATTTGAATAGAGATCGTTATGGGTCTCACACCATACAAAGATAAGAATCCCACCTTGCTAAATTAGTTTTGAGAGATAAAGGAAACTAAAAGGTGTACTAAGTTCTAGCTTCCTAGTTTGACTAGTCATAACTGAATTGGGAAGCCTTCTAGTTCTCTCCTATCCTAAGTTAGAGTTGTTTCCTATATTCTAGCTGTCCTATTCAGTTAGGACTTAGGAGACAGTAACCTATTATAGCTCCTATTAGCAATATTAGGAGTGCACCATTTCTGAATTCAATCCAGCTTAAGGAGTACAGCAAGATCATATTGATTATCTTAAAATCAAATAGCAGTTTGATCACCATTGGAGCTGCGCCATCTTCAGCTTGGTGTGGACTTGTGATCTTGTTCTTCAGGTGTGAATACCACATTGGATGTTGCAATTGTGGACTTCGTATCGGGTAGCATCCTATCCAATTTGTTGGAACCAATTTTGATATGATTATTCTAAACCAATCCCAGAGAAAAATCAGTTTTCTCACGTGACATTCGATTTTTAAGTGGGTTGATCTTGAAAATTTTTGAAATTTACTAAACTCCTCACCATGATTCGACCTTTATGGTGAAATATCAATCCATTCTTCAATATGTAAGGTAGAATTTGGATCCAACCCCTGGGAAAGGTAGAACACTGTAGGAAAGACATCACACAAGCCCTAAATTGATGATAATAATTCTAATTTATTTTGCTGCTGTTTTGTTTATTTTATTTTATTTATCTTTTCCTTATAGGTGCTATTTGGGTCTGAGTCCTTTTCTTATTTGTATACAATGTTTTAGGCAAGGGAAGCATATACCTGGATAGACCTGTTAATGATACCCGAAAATCTGAGGCCCGATCCGACATCCAATCCGATTATCTCAGATTCAGATGATGTATTTATGTAATTGGGTTGGACAAAGTTCTTGACAAAGGTTGGGTAATCTCTTCAATCAATCCTGAGAGGTCAGAAATCTATCAAGTCTGCAACTTATGGCATTTTCTTGCATATTTGATCAGGTGAAGAGTCCATTAGTAA